ATAATAAGTTCTTGAGTAATATGCAGATGTTCCATTTTTATTTCTTTAATAAAATTGAAAGTCATTTAAGTGATTCATCTAAGAACCTAGGTTTATATTCAGAAGCCATAGGGTCATTTCAAAGACACACAGAGAGAAAGAGCACAGATTTTATAATCAAATTGTGTGGGTTTAAATTTTGGCTTTGCCACTCTAGCTGTATGATTTTTAGAAATATTTACTTTAGCATCTTTTTGCTATTTTGGCATCTATAAAATAATGGCAGAAGTGGTACTAACCTCATGCTGGGGTAATTCTGAGGATTAAATGAGATAATGCCCGTAAGATTCTTAACCATGATTGTTGGGTATTATAACATATGCTCAATAGACAACTATTTTCAAAATAAAAATTCCAGTTTGGCATACTCCTACATAGCACGCAAAATGCAATTTTGAATTTTTATACCTTTTTTTGCGTAAGGTAGTTCTGCTTTTCTGAGAGGACTGGCCAGATACATTAGGTTGTTTCTGATAGAACTAGGACGTGTACATCACTGAGAAAATTATAACCACTTGACGTGATTTTTCATAAACATCATTTGACCTGTCAGTTGTTGCCCATAGTGAAGTTGTTGCAGTGCAGCTTGGTACCTGCACTTTTTAACTTGTCACTAGCTGTGTTCTTCATTGATTGCTGTAACTTTAATGAAATCTAGTCTTGCTGAATCACTGAACCTGTTCTCTCCTAGAAGGCTCTTTGTTGGGACCTGACAGATCCCCTCTCCAGAGCCTTCAGACGTCCTGGCTCTCTAATTCTTCTCCATAACGAGTTTTGTGCTGCATGATAAAATATTCATGTTAGAATAGGTTCTAAACTAATTATCGTAGCCAGCAGTTGCCACTGCAGTCATTTGCTGTTAGCTTGGCTCAAGTTAATGGCTTATATTACAGTACAAATAGTCCCTTCTGGCTGTTTCCTGTTGCTGATTCTTATCCTAAATGGAATTTCCATACATATCTAGAGTTAATTCTTCTTCTTTTGAAAGCAGATTTTTTTTGCCCTGCTTTTTTTCCGTCTCATTAAGATTAGCTTATTTTAGTGTCCAGTTCCTTTTATTTCTTATCCATCTTCAAAGCCTATGTCCCTGCCAAATTCATAACTCCTACACTGTCTGAAAGGAAATAGTAAAGCACCAACTTTAATAAAATATACCATGTCAGATTTTGGAAGAAACAAAAATGGGGTACCACTGTAAGGATGGGATCTAATTTCAGTACGTACGATAAGCATTTCTGCTTAGTTGCTGGAGACCTACAAAGGGAGTGTTATGATAGGAATTAACCACTTTGGGAAGAATTATGGGGCTGGACGTGAGGGAGATAAGGCACTAATGGAATATTTTTCTGTGGGTGTTGCTGGAAATGATGGATGACTTGCTGAAGGAGTGGGAGAGTTCAGTGTCATATAAGAGGACTGAGGACTTGATCTTTGGGAAATCTGTACTTTGATGTAGGAGTGAAAAGAGCTGGAGCCCAGCTAACAAGGAGACCTTCCTAATACCCAAGGATGGGATTAGGGTCTGGGGAGCCTTCTTAAACCCTTTCTGCTTCCCTCTCTTTTAGTGAGTGAGTGAGTGGATGTGAAAGGATAAGTCAGAGAAAGAGAGGAAATGTTACTAGGCAGTTAGAGGATGGACTTCCTTTAGAAATTCTAAGTGCCTCTCACTTCAGCGTCATTGTGGTCACTGAGCTGTTCAGAAAAGAGCAGCTAACCTAAAGTGCTTAACTGGAATGTTGGACCAGGGAGACAGGTACTCTTTTCTTTAACTAGCTATTATAGCTTCTGTTCAACCTTTTTCAGAAAGTTGTACTCATTAAACGCTTAAACACCACCTGGTTTGTCCTCCCTCCAACCACTTTCCCTGTGTTCCCACCTTCCCCCTCAAATAAATCAAACATAAAAGGTTTGGGTTGCATTTCTTTCACACGCTAAACTCTGTATTTCAGTTTTATTTTGTATTTAATTGACATATAATAATTGTTAAGTTGCGTATTGATTCTCTCTGTCAGTTAAATGGTATATGCCATATGCATTCTGTTAATGGCCTAGGGATTTCATGGGCCCAAGATTAGTGCTTTGATTTTGAAATCAAAATGTTCAGTTTCTCATGAACTTAAAAAAAAATTACTTTATTTTGAATAGAGTCATTAGGTTCATAGCGTTAGGGCTCGTCAGAATGTTGGAATACAGATTTGTGGTATATAAAACATACATGATTTTTATGGCACTCTGAATAGTAAAAATCTTTCTGATACTAACTGCACAAATCCAACATTTTATTCTCTCTTGTACTTAAAACAGCACAAATGGCCGGGTGCGGTGGCTCATGCCTGTAATCCCAGCACTTCAGGAGGTCTAGGTGGGCAGATCACTTGAGGTCAGGAGTTCGAGACCAGCCTGACCAACATGGTGAAACCCTATCTCCACTAAAAATAGAAAAATTAGCCAGGCGTAGTGGCAGGCGCCTGTAATGTCAGCTACTCAGGATGCTGAGGCAAGAGAATCATGTGAACCCAGAAGGTGGAGGTTGCAGTGAGCCAAGGTTGTGCCACTGCACTCCAGCCTGTGCAAAAGAGCAAGACTCTCCCTCAAAACCAAAACAAAACAGCACAAATACGGGAAATCAGTATGATAAGTGTTTTCCCCTCATGCATTGTTTCTGACCTGTGTCTTACGTTCGTTAATTCATCTGCATATTATTCCTTGATCAAAGAAACATGCCTATTAAAACACCCACGATGAAATGATTTCTGAAAGGAAAGGTTAGCTGGCATTTTGGTTCTTTTTTTTTTTTTTTTTTTTTAAACAACAGCACTTTTTGCCCGGTATCCTGTGAAATATGTAAGAGATTAATCTAATAAAGCATCAGAATTATGGCTTCTTGGAATTCAACTATAACTTGGAATTTAATGAGTTACATATTTTGCTTGATATTCATTCTGTATGTGTAACACCACAATAATCGATTTCTTTAATTAAATGCACAAATAATAGTTCATGAAGTACCTGAGGCACAAGGGAGAGGGGTGTGTTAAACATTGACTAATTTAATGAGAAACATGTGTTATAATCTACTCCTTCCTTTAGTGTAGAACAATAATTTTGGAAATTACAAACAAGTGTTTTATAGTCTTCAAATATTTATTTATTTATTTTAATTTTAAGGATATAGATTTTATTTTTCTTTTGTTAGTTTTTTCCCATAGGCTGTGACCGCTCACTGGAAGGATATGAGATAGATATAAACTGTTCCATGGAATCCTGATCATCTAAGATATCAGAGTTAACACTTTAAATCATTTAATATACTTTTATTTGCTCAGAAGAGAAATGCTACTGATGACTGTCTTCAAGAGAAGCCTCAGGGGCAGAGGGAGAAAATCCCGTGCTCCCTGTCCTCCAGGGTAATCATATGACCAACTATAGTAGCCTTATAGGAGGAGAAATTCTTGGTAATATACCAGGGTTACATAAAATGCTTTTCAGGTTTATGATTTTAAGCAGTTAAATCAAATACTCTGAACTTTGAACTTTCACTTTGGTTCGCATTTGCTGTTTGTTTCTATCTTTCCAAATTACCTGTTCTCAATCCCTTTACCATATTTCTATACTTCTTATTGATTTGTATATGTTTGTATATATTACGGGTATCCTTTCCCAAGTGTGGCAAATTATTTTCTTCCAATTTGTGGCTTATATTTTAAACTTTTATAGCATCTATTATTATGTAAATGCATAATGTTTATGTCATGAATTTTTTTCTTCTTTTTTTACAACTTCTTTGTTTTTAAATTTTCTTTGGTTGTGCTTCCTCTACACTAATAGTGAAAACACACACTTTTTTTTCTAGACTTCATTGTTCAATTTTTCTGTGTTACATCTAGGTCTTTAATCCATATAGAATTTATTTCTGTGTAAGATATTGATTTAATTTTTTCTGATGTAAAATAAGTGTCTCAGCATGGTCGGTTGTTCAGTTCTGTCAATTCTGAATGATTTGAAAAGTGTACTGTTTTTCCCAATTCCAAATGTGTAATTAGAATTTCTTGATTTCAGGTGTAAAAGACTCAGCTTAGTGATCATAAACAAAGTTGGGTAATTACTAAGGAGAATAGGCTTTGCCTCCGGACCGCAGAGTAGGTGGCTGTGCTTTGGGAACAACTATTTACAGGAACTCAAATACTATCAGGTTTCATTCTCTTTCTTTTTTCCTTTGTCTTTATTCTCATTTCTTCTCTTTTTCATGTATTGACTTCATTCTTCTTTCTCAGTGCATACTTTTTCTGAATGGTTCCTGGGTGTTTCATCTACTCGGAAAACCGCTCTCAGATTTGGGTCAGCTGCCCTTCACTGTGTCCTGGAAATGAAGTCATTAAGAACATAGCCAGCCCTGACCAAAACCATGTGGATGAAAGGCTAATTCTTCTTTAGGCAGATTAGGTATCTAGATCTTATTCTGGACTCTCTAGAAGTTATATCTGTTTATCCATGCCTATTTCAGTTCAGTGCTGTGTCAATTACTGTAGTTTTATGTTTGGCTTAGAAAACTGTAGGGCAAGTACTCTTTTTTTTTTTTTTTTTTTTTTTTTTTCTTTCAAAAATATTATTGGCTGGTATTTATTCTTAATGAAATTTAGAATCAGCATGTCAAGTTCCATTACACATCCCATGTTTTTTGATGGGAATATATTGAATTAAGCTTTCTAAGTGGAAATTTGCCTTCTTATTTTGAGATTTTTTTTTTTTTTTTTGAGACAGTCTCCGTCTGTTGCCTAGGCTATGGAGTGCAGTGGCGCCATCTCGGCTCACTGTAATCGCTACCTCCTGGGTTCAGGTGATTCTTGTGCTTCAGCCACTTGAGTAATTGGGATTAAAGGTGTGAGCCATCATGCCCAGCTAATTTTTGTATTTTTAGTAGAGATGGGGTTTCGTTGTCTTGGCCAGGTTGGTCTGGAACTCCTGACCTCAAGAGATTTGCCTGCCTTGGCCTACCAGAGTGATGGGATTACAGGCCTGAGCCACTGTGCTGGGCCAAGATTTGTTTTCCAGAATCATGGTATGCCTTTCCATTTTAAAAAGTCTTTCTTTTATGGTAAAGTCAGCTTATGTGGCTATATTACTGTCAAATGAATCCCATTACTAATCTCTACTTAAATAAAACTTTGTGGAATAATAATTTGAAAGCAAAGATAAGTAAAAGAAGACAAAGATTTCTTGTAATCCTGCCATTTAGGGATAACTGTATACATTTAGGCATATCATGGTGCTGTATCTTCCACAGAGGTTAAATGTTTAGGATACAAGATATCGGCATTTGTATCAGGAATGCATTCTCATTTAAGTAAAAAGAAGCCTGCTAACAATATGATTTTATTACTCATAAAGAGGTTTGAAGATACTGGTTCAGTGACTCAGTCAAGTAAAAAATGATTCTATACAGTTCTTTTGGCCTTTCTCTCGTAGTCACGAGATGATGGCTGCTAGGACAGTCATTTTATAGATCTTTGAGCTAAGAGGGTGACAGAATGTTTTATGTCAGTTTGTCCCCTTGTCGTAAAATGAAAGCTGTTTTTGGGTACCTCTGGTCTTGCCTGCTCACATGACCACTTCTCCATGCAGGTAAGGTTGACAAGCATGCATGTGGCTTTTTAATCTCTATTGTGGGACGTGGGATTAGATTGGCCTTTAGGTAGCCAGTCAACACCACCTGCCTTTGCAAATGAGACCAGAATTACTTTTGATCTTCAATTGTACAAGCCAAGTTTTTAGACAGCAGATAAATAAGTTCTTCCATATCTTCTTTAACCAGTGTTTATCTAAGCTCCTTAATTTATTCATTTCTTTCCCTTAGTGATTTCTAGGAAGCCATTACCTCTATTTGCCTGGCACCTATCCAGTGCAGAAAAGGGTCCTGAAAACCCGAAATGTCATTCATAGTGTGTTTCCATCATTTTTAAATGCCATTTCTTAATTGCGTAAGACTGAATTGCTTTGGGCATTCCTCACTGAGCTAGAATGCTAACTCTACAGCAGGTTCTTGAATAACATCCCTTTGTTATAACGTTGATGAGAAAAAGAAGTTGATTCCTGGAGGGCCCTATTGTCTGTGTGAAGTTACACATTCTCTCCATGTCTGTGGGTTTTCTCCGGATACTCCAGATTCCTCCCACATCCGAAAGCTGTGCATGTTCTTCAAATTGTCATGTCTGAATTATCCCAGTCTGAGTGAGTGTGGGTGCATGCGCCCCAAGATGGAATAGTGTCTTGTTCAGGGCTAGTGTCCAATCTGTGCCCTGAACTGCCGAAATAGGCTCCTGCCACCTGCCACCCTGAACTGCATTAAGTGGGTAAATATATAACTTGTCATTTATCTCAAATTTATGCACAGCTCACATTTATTTCAGTATTTAATATTAGCATTTTTGTCTTCATTTAGAGGTTTGGTGATGTTTTTGCAACCCGAAATATGCCGTAGCAACTCACCTTTGTTTATGTCAATTAGGCAATGGGGAAATTTGTCTTGTGGTACATCATTTTGCTTAAAATTGAAGTTTCTAAGAACCTTTAGATGACGTTAAGTGAAGAACTTGTTGTATTTCTGCTTATTTATTTGCTTTTTACTGTGAAGAAATAATTGAACTTCTGTGAAGGGTGCATTTGCTTTTAGTCCACTGCGTCCTGCTCTAGGCTGTCCAAGCCCGGGGTGCTCCTATGATAAGAAGGCAATGTGAGAATTCTCACAGGGCCCTAGCCTGACCTTTGGATTAGGTTCTCATGGTGCTGCTCTGGTTTCTAGTTTCCGCAATGCTAGGTTCCCCGGCTTGCCTGACCTTACCACCTTGTGCTTCTGATTAATGTGGTTCTCTAAATCCCATTCATCTGACACTTCCAGACTTGTCATTTTTATTAGGTCTCATTGCTTCAGCAGTTATGGCATTCTCCTGACTAAATAGAATTCTTTCTTACCTAGGAAAAAATAGTAGCTTTATTTTAACTAAAGCTGTTTTCACAAGTGTGTGAAGAGCTGGAAAATTGCAATTAGCTTCAGATAAGCACAGTTGAAATATTCTTGTTTTGTACTAAGGCAACAAATTGAAAGAAAGCTTGAGGGCATTGAGTCATTGTAGTTTCTAACGATACAATGAATACGTTATTGGGTTTGTGTATTGTACTGGGACCTTGTTACTTACAAAATCTAAAATAAAAGGATCTTAATGTGTCTTTAGTAATCCTCATGCCTTTTAATAAGAACTTTTAATTTTTAGTCCCTGAGTCATCACATTTTGGTATTGCTAGCCCTCCTGTGGCCAAACTGAATACTTTCCTAATTAATTTTAATAATAGAAAGCCTCATTAGGAATGCACTGATCTGCTGGGATGACTGTGGTGACACACGAAGTCACGAAAGGAGGAGGAAATCATTTTGGGCATTTCATTGCCATCTTTTGTTTAAAATGGATATTTCAGGCCAGGGAGCACTATTTGTGGTCAGCATTTGGGAGGCTGAGTGTTATATTTTCAACTGTTATATATCATTTGTTTGATTTGTGATAATGGGTTGTCACACTCTGGCATTAGTGGTCATTTTTAATGGCCATTTTCTAGTGGCATATGAAATTGAAAAAGACTAAAGTGTTGGAAGGAAGGAAAGTTTGGGTTTTTTAATTATTAAAGTATCCCAAATAAAAATGGACTTGTAAAGAATGTCTCAAGAAATATGTCAGAAAAGTCAGTCAAAATTGGACAGATGAGCTTTTGCTCATGAACATCTGTAAAGCATTGAGTTTAATTGCCCTGCTGCTGCTGTTGGCTGCGAGGTTTCTAGTTTTTCTCTTCCGTTTCTCCTCCATCTTCAGATGTCACTTCATTTCCTCTTTCCTACTGTTGCCTGGGTCACGTGCATTTGCTTGTATAGAAAAAGTAAGACGATTTAGTTATTTTTAAGATCCTAAAGACAAGCATGCTTATCTGTTAAAGCCTTTTCCTCCAAGCACCTGTTAAGAGTTGAATTTAATCTACGCCAGCTGTAGCCTAGTTATGTGTAGCTGGAGTAGGAGGTGTCTGATACATTGTCTTCTCTGTTTTCATTGAGATGGATTTGGTAAAACTAGGTAACATAAGTTAGTTGGGAAAATTTAGATGTACCTTAGATTAGATGAAGACCGTGCAAAATAGGGCTTTAAAATACAGCGATTCAAATATATTTGCTTATACTTTTATCTGAATTACAAATTGGATAGACAGTTATTTCTACAGAATTGCCCGAAATTATATTACACATTGAGACCACTGACTTTTGACACTGGCCACTTTGTCCATTTGTATTTTCTTGCTGAGTTACTCTTTTGGACATAATTCTGCAGAACGGAAGTCTTTAAAGAAAAATGAAGGTGCTGAGACTGTTTTATTCTTGTTGACATATGAATATGATTCAAATTGAGTTTTAGGGAAAGATCACTTCATAGAAATTCTTTTATTTTACCAACTCAGTACCAGGTTATATTAGTCCATTCTTGCATTGTTGTAATACCTGAGACTGTGTGATTTATAAAGAAAAGAGACTTAATTGGCTCATGGTTCTGCAGGCTGTATGGGAAGCATAGCAGCTTCTGCTTCTGGGAAGGCCTCAGGAAATGTACAATCATGGCAGAAGGCGACAGGCAAGCAGGCCCATCTTATCTGGCTGGGGAAGGTGCCACACACTTTTAAACAACCAGATCTCATAGAACTCACTATCATGACAACAGCATCACAGGAGAAATCCACCCCTATGACCCGGTCACCTCCCACCAGGCTACATCTCCAATATTGAGGAGTATAAATCGACATGAGATTCAGTCGGGGACACAGATCCACACCGTATCATAGGTCAAATTGAAGCTCCTATTTTTTTGTCCTCCTTCTCCACTTATTTTAAATTGGAAATTAAAAAATAGAATATAAGATGTTTTAGTCTTCATGAAATACTTTTACCAAACCATACACCATACCTTAAACCTAACTAAAGCTCTTTTTGTGATTAATTTTGAAGGAAAACCCAGTCAAATGCTGAATTTTGATGACCAGGAGACAGACTAAGATTTTTCACTGTTCATTTAATATTTTTTAAGATTTGTAATGTATGAAGCTTTTGACATGTGATGTGAAAGACAAAAAGGAGACATCTCTTAATTCTATTCTTAATGAGTGGAAATATTTTCTAATCTGGGAGTTAGCTGCAAACTATCCTGGACCTGAACCTTGAGGCCTATGGGTGAAGGTTGCTAAGGCCAGGGCCAAGTAGTCTGAATCACAGTGTTCCAGGGGTTGGAGGAACTCAAACATCACCTAGTCAAGTACAGACAACCTAGAGGTCTAACGTGGTGTGAGGGCGCATTGCAGTGGAAATTGAATTTGGTGAATAGTGGTGTTGGGATGCCCAGTTTCCGTTTGAATTAGAATCGTAATTAGTAGCCTTGGGAAATATTTCTCCCATTTTCAGAACCACAGCAAAATGGATTGAGATTCAGGGAACCATAACCTAATTAGGAGCCAAGGGAGGAGCTAATTCCCAAGGATTGGACTTGCCTGGTGGGCTTGATAGACAGGACCATAGGCTTGTTTTGCTTTCCGAAGCATGCTGAATCCTGGGCTTAATCTCCTTCACTCTTAGTTTTCTCATCTGTGAAATGACAGTAGTCAATAATTATAGTCACCTCATGGGGTTGTTTATGATCATTAAAAGAGAAAATCCATAAATAACATGTAAAATACTGCCTAGACATAATGAATGTTCAGTAGATATGTTGGCAATTACAGTTACTACCTACTCAGAGGAATGGGTTTTTACCTTAGGCCCCAGAGTTGTTTAGAGATCACCTTGAGGATTTGTTAAAACACTGATTGCTGGAAATGACCTTCAGAGTTTTCTTGATTCAGTAGCCCTGGGGTAGAGTTGCCAAGTAAAGTATAAATTTGAATTTAAATTAAATTTGAATTTCAGATATACAGTAACCAGTCTTTTAAGTATGCCCCATGCAATATTTGGAACACACTTATACTAAAAAAATTCAGTATCTGAAATTGTTTATCTGAAATTGTAATTTAACTGGGCTGAATTCATTGTTTATCTGAAATTTGAATCATATGGGTTTTTGTTTTTGTTTTTGTTTTGACTAAATCTGGAAAGCCGAGTCTGGGGTGGGGCAGTTTGAATTGGCATGTCAAATGTGTTCCTTCCCATGTGATGCTACTGGTGGTTCTGGACAACACTTTGAGAACCTCTGGATATGTACAGCTGGATTGAACTAAGGAATATGTTGACAATCATTTACAACTAACTATAGCAGAAGGCGTCACATTCCCTGGGAGTTCAAAATATGCCCAAGATACAAGGCAATAATGTTAGTGTCTAAATAGTGACACTTTAGTGGGGGTTATATATTTGTGGCTAAGTCTTTAAGGAACATGAGATTGAGTTCATTTATAAAGGTATGCAACTAGGTGCATTGGCCTAAATAAAAATATAGATTCCATCTTTTTTGCATGATTTTCATTGAGCTACATCTTCATGAATTTCATATTTGTAGCTTTTTAATGCCAAGAGTTATTTTTGGGGTTTGGAGTGAGAGAACCCAGGGTGAAACATTAAACTCATCTGTATTTTATCTATAATCTCTTTAAGTCAGAAGCCAGTAATTAGAGTCATACAGGAGGCAGTGTAGAGAGTAATTATTTCATGGGCTTTAGAGTTATTTCTCATTTGTATGGTGGAAATAATAATACCCATCTCATAGGATTGTTGTCAGCATGATGTAAAAGAGTACACATAAAGCATGGTTTAGCAGACAGTGAGCACTTAAATACAGACTAAAGTAGGATTAGGATTAATAAAACTCAAATCCTCAATTTAGTGGGTAAGTTTTTAAGCCATTGTTAACAAATCCTCTGAGTCAAGTTGTTTTTTTGTTGTTGTTCTTGTTTTTGACCAGGAACATCACTGATTCGTGGTAGACAGGGAGTTAAATATTAGAACTTGGTTACTGGGTCTACTATCCACTATAATATTAGCTCCACAATAGCAGAGACTATTCTTGCTTTGTTGCTTGTTGTATCCTTAATGTCTAAAACATTACCTTCCATATAATAGATACTCAATAAATATTTGTGGAAAAACAAAAAGTGACTACCATTGGTAAATGCTTTCAATAAACTGTGTTTAAAGGATTTTATGATGATGTGTATGTAAAATTTTTATATCAGATTATGTTTCCATGGGTATAACATTAGACTAAAAGTTTAGAATACCTCAAACAACAAACCTGGGCACATATACAGTTTCATGTAGAGTGACGAGAAAAATGGAGATGTTTTAAATGTCTGATATAAGAACAGTCACTTAATTTTTATTCTCCTTTTTTAACCTTTTGATATACTATGCAGGCTTAAGAAAACCAGCTATATATAAGTAAATTTAAATAGGCAATACATTCCCATGCTTTAAAATTTAAAAGTATAAAAGTGTATATATTAAACATCTCCTTAAAACTCCTATCTAATAGTTACCCTGTTATCTTTCCCACAGGCAAGTTATATCATTAGTTTTTATGTCATTATAGAAATATTATTGGTATATATAAGCAAATATATATATATTCTTTTTTCTTCTGTTTTACATAGATGGTAACATTATGAGTGCTGTTCTGAACATCAATTTCTTTTCATTTTGTATATCATTGAGTTTTATTTCTTCATTCTTTGTTATGGGAAGAGTATTATGTTGTATTGGTACACCATAATTTATATAACCAGTCCCCTGTTAATATGTATTTATGTTGTTTCTAGTTTTTTACTGTCACAAGCAGCACTACGGTATAACCATCCTTGCATGCATGTGGTAATATGTCTGTAAGATAAATTCCTGGCAGTGGAGTTTGCGGGTCAAACTGTTATATTCCAGGGTTTGTGCATTTGGAGTTTTGATAGATACTGCCTGTCTTTGTTCATTTTTTTTTTTCCTGTGTAACAGAGTATCATAGACCGGATAATTTATGAAGAACAAAACTATATTTGGCTCAGACTTCTGGAGACTGGAAAGTCCCAGAGCATGACACTGGCATCTGGTGAGGGTCATTCCATAGCAGAAGTGAACACAGGAGACAGAGAAATGGGCCTGACTTTATTCTTTTATCCTGAGCTCACTCCTGTGATGACTACTTCCATTTCCATGGTAAGAATACTAGTCAATTCATGAGAGCTCTGCCTCTTTAAGGTTCTACCTGTCAATCCTGTTACAATGGCAGTTAAATTTGTGAATTATGTGAATTATGTGCAGACATTCAAGCCATAGCATTGCCATACTGCCCACCATAGTGGTTGTGCTGTTTTATACTTTTACCAAATAATGTTCTTCATTATTTACATTCGTATCAATACAGTGTGTTAACAAACTCTTGACTCATTCCATTTTGTAGAATGTTTTATTTTCGTTTGAATTTATATTTCTCTTAATTGTGATATTGCGCATTTTTTCATGTGTGTGTGTGTGTGTGTTTTGAGATGGAGTCTCACTCTGTCACTAGGCTAGAGTGCAGCGGTGCCTTATTGGCTCACTGCAACCTCTGCTGCCCAGGTTCAAGCAGTTCTCCTGCCTCAGCTTCCTGATTAGCTGGGGTTATAGGTGCCTGCCACTGCACCTGGTTAATTGTTGTAGTTTTAGTAGAGACCGGGTTTCATCATCTTGGCCAGACTGGTCTTGAACTCCTGACCTCATGATCCACCTGCCTTGGCCTCCCAAAGTGCTGGAATTACAAGCATGAGCCACTGTGCCTGACCCATTTTTCATATATTTAAGAATTTTTATATTTTCTTTTCTATGACTTGTCTCCTCATATTATTTTGAATAATTTTTCAGTTGCCTCTTTTTTCCACCCTTACTGATTTGTAGGATTTTTTTTTTTAAATCAGGGAATGTAGCAATTTGAGATATGAGCTTCCAATTTTTTTCCATTTATACTTTGGCTTTCCTTACCATAATTTTTGCCATGCAGAAATGTTTAATTTTTATTTTATTTAATATAACAAACTTTTCTTTGATGGCTTCTACATTTGTGATACAGTTATAAAAGACTTCTACCAGCTGAGGTTATAAGCAATTTTATCATAATTTAAAAAATTACTTTTATAGTTTTTTCATTTAAATTTTTAATTCATTTGGCAATTATCTAGGTATAGAGTATGAGGAAATCATTTGACTTCTCTCTTGACTTTTTATTTATGACTTCACTATTTCAACCAGTTTTTATTGAGTATCGTTTATGTACAAGGAACTTCGGCGGGTGTCCCTCATAGGGCATATTAAAACTTAGTAGGGCGACTAGGATTTCTAAAACAAATAATGAATGAAAAAGCATCAGAAATGTTATGGAAGAGATATTTGGGAGTGCATAGAAAGGTGTGATTCATTCTTTCCTTGTATAGGAAAGAACAGGACTCAGAATAAGGAAATATTTATTTCATACTCATTTATTACCATACTCATTTTTGAAGTCAGAAATATCTTAAAACAGTTTAGTTTATATGAAACACTAACTGAAGGATTTATTTAGAAGAACAGATACAATCTGAGTTACAAGAATGTTGATGTACAGAGTGAATAGATAACTGATATGATTCACGTTTATAAGATTAGCAACTTTCTACTGATATCTTTTAGCAAAGTAAAAATAAGCAAATAAATAAGATTAAGAAAACTCATTTGAGAGAGTCAGTTGTCAAGATGTTGGAGAGGTAGTAATGAGAACACGCGGACTCAGGGAGAGGAATATCACACACTGGGGGCTGTTGGTGGGGACAGGGGAGAGATAGTGGGGTTGGGGAGGGAGGGGAGTGTGGGGAGGGATAACATGGGGAGAAATGCCAGATATAGTGTGCACCTAAAGTAAAAAAAAAAACACTAACTTCCAACTATGTGATTTTGGAACTCTCTTTGAGAAGAAAACAAAGAATAATTAATAAAGACTTTTTAAAAGGCCAAAGTAATAACAACAAAAGCCTCAGATGACTTGAAAGGTGACAGAATAAACTGGGAGATGATAACAATAAAGAAACTTAATCATGTGCAGAAATGTATAGTACTTTGTATAGCCGATAAAAGCAAGTAAGAATTTTCAATCACTCTTTAGGACTTTAATGCAGGGGACAAGTAATACGTTCGATATACCCGTAGGACATAACTAATAAGAGAAGAGCTTCAGTTTTGAAAATAAGATAAAATGTATAAGTTTACATAATCTTCAGGAAAGTGAACACAATTCCACTTTCCTGAAGATTATGTAAACTTATGCATTTTATCTACATGTATGCGTGTTAGCTACAAGCAGGCAGTTGCTTTCAACTAGAAAGATATGAAAGTCTTTTAAAAACAGTATAGATATATAACTTTATTGTTAAACATGCATAAACTCAATGTTATTAAGACAGTAAAGGATTAGGAAGACAATATTGAGGAAGGATGTGTGGATTATGTTTCAAATATGTATATGTATGTATGTGTGTATAAGACACACACATGTAATGGTGGAATGTTGGGTTTTGTTTCCAGAGAGCCAAGAGAAGTATAAACTTTTTAATCTTCAAATTTTGACACAGGCTTTTGCCTTTCATTCACAAAGAGGAATATTATTCTTTTCCTTCATAATCAAATGCCCAGGTTTCCAGGCTGGTCCCAGTGAATGTGTGGTTGCTGCTAGAGATTCTGTATTTTACAGATTTGATATTTTACCTAATATTTTACATCTCTGTCACCGTTGGAATATGTTTATGAGATCTGGGCTTATCACCAGTGTACATACTTGTCTTTCTGTTCACCACTAATTTTTATAAGATAATGGCAGAATGCAATAAAACATCACACAGTTGCCTAGCCACTTCTATACCTAGATGTCAGTGCTGCTGAAATCGAATGGTGAGCTGGCAGGAAAGGTTGCTGTGGATTAACAGGAAATATTAGACTGTTCAAATTTCATATATAAAAGTAGAGTCAATATATAATGTATAATAGATGGCACTGTGAATGTGCATGGCACTCATGCATTTAGAACCTCTGTACACTTTAAATATTGTGGGGAATAGGAGCTGCCAGGGCATTTTAGACTGAAGATTGGGAATTGGAGGTCTTACAGTCTCACCAGTTAGTGATCATCCAGCTTAGTCACATTATTTTATAGTAGAAGAGTGAAACCTAAAGAAGTAATTTTTCTCTGTGTACAAAGCACATTTGGAGGCAGAGATTAACAATCAGGTTTTATGTCTTGTTTCATTGCTTTTTTTCAGCACATGTTGTTTGTTTCACCGTTGTGGTTTTCAGCTCTCAGTGTACCATGTGTGATTTTTGGTAAAAGCGCAGATTCCTGATCTCCAACCTCAGAAATTTTGGTTTAGCAGGCCTGGGATGTGGGCCTAAAAATCTCAGATGCAGATGGCTCTTGTGGCAGGCACACTTTAAGAAGGCTAGACCATGTCATGCATGAAACTGAAATACATAGAAGTTTTATATCCAAGGTCACACATGTAGGAAATGGGGAAACCAGGACTCCTATCCACTCCTCGATATGTTTTTTGTTGTATAGTTTTTGACATTCTAGAAATTGAAGTGACTCACTCTAGCTAGAGGTTTGGAACAAGATTTAAGAAGCATCTAAAATCAACATGATGCTAGTTCCTAGGGTGATGAATACTTGTTAATAAAAAGTAAAATTGCCCAGCATGAGCCAGCTTTAATTAGCATTTCAAAGAAGTAAGACAGTGCGATCTAATATTTGAAAATTGATTTAATTTAGAACTGATGGTAATTTAAGTATTGGTATTCCATCTTTACTCCTGTTGAGCAACCTGGGTGGCCTTATCTTCTATGACAGTAGAATTTATAATTATTTCAAACTCTGCCTTTAGGTAACTTAGAATCTTATAGAAGATACAACTTATAAACAGATTTAAAGAATGATATTTTAAAAA